TTTTGGTATTGCGTCTCTTCTCACTCTATAAATTTCACATTTTCACACCAACTACGCATTATTCGAAAAGTCCTGCTTTAGTCTAAGTTTACTCCTTGTCCAGTCGAATCTGAACTCATTCACAGTTTAGATGAGGACCAAGCCTCCTTATATATCATAGCGTGGCACACAGAACTGTTTCCGGTCCTGATAAGATGATAAACCTTTCGCTGAGCACTTTACTAGTTGCTGACAAGAAATTGAGTTGGATATGTGATCAAGTTGCACCTCACTATTGCAATCTTAAAATCTTTTTGAACATCTTATATTTTTTATATTTACCAAATGGATCTAGACTAGATTAAAGATTGAGATCGGCAACGAATCCAGCTAAGCTGAGGCTGTAGTCGAAATCACAATGTCAAGTTTTTATTTACTGCTTAGTATAATTTTTCATGGCAGGATATCACGTGTGATACAACCACCATGATGCTGAGATATTTGCAAAACTCCAGACCGTAGGTGTGTGCGGTGGGGAACAACTGTAATTCTTCTTCTTACTTCATCACTGAATGTTGCGCCTTCATACCTTGGATTCTTCGTTTTATTTCTTAACTGTAACTAATAAACCACGGCGTTCTTTAAGCTGATGAGTATGGTAATGGGAGAATACAGAGTGATTTCTGGTGAACAATTGTTGTTAATCGATGGCTCTGCTCACCATCACCGGTCACCACGCCTAGTGAATTAAAAACGTAACGAAGCCTACATACTTTCGAATTGGATTTTTCCTGAGCCGTCTTCGTTGATTTCGCCTGCGGCCTCTTGAACTTGTTGATCAGTTAGATCGTCAGCTAACTCTTTCAAGAGAGCCTTCAGCGTCGTCTGTGAGATGTGCCTGTTAATATGAAGAGTAGACATTTTGTCATTCATTTTTGGTTATAAAAGGCTATATTCAAAGTGGCAAGGTACAACTTTTGAAAAGCACCGAATGAATGTTTGCTAAATATAGAAACAAAGAACGATAAAGCTCCCGGCGTGGATCAATCCCTGAGGGATGCGCCATGCATTCGACTTTATTAAGCATCGTTGAAGGTGATTAAATGCACATCTAGCCTGTAAAATGACTCGCGGCGAACTACCAATGTGTCCCGTCAGTGCTGCTATACTCCCAGATATTTCACATAATACCCTGCCATAAAAATAATAGAAGGCTGAAAATAAAAAAAGTAAACATTGTGAATTCAGCTATAGCCTCACCTTAACTGGGTTCAATGCCGATTTGGGCTCCCCAGAACAATCCCGTTGACGGGTGATTGCTGATGGCAAAGGATCGACAGAACTAGCTGAGAGAAGCGAAACGAAGGACCTGAATGGTGTGGTGGTGAAGGCGTTACTTCCCGGAAAGGACTATAGGGCGTTCGTTCCCCAGCGCAGACACCTGCGGTCCGGAGTATTGCAAATATCTCAGCATTCTCGTGGTTGTATTTCGCTTAATACCCTGCCATAAAAATAATAGAAAGCAGAAAATTTAAAAAAACATTGATCATAGAGTGGTTGCGAGCTTACTGACGGTGTGGTGTATTGGGTGGGATGTCAATAATCGTTTCATAATTGTCAAGGCACTTTTCCTCAGGCACCTCTTAACGGCGTAACTTATTTCGCTTGATATGAAGGGTAGCTTGAAAGGGATCTTATTTAGGTTCGAAACGTTATTTTGAAGAACTATTCTACCTTTTCTCTGACGTGAGTGGCTTCTGCTTTGTAGCCACTGGAAATGGTTATTTTTCGTGCTTGGTTAAGAGATTCCTTCCTTTCCTCTTTTCCTACGCACATTTTTAGCCGTTCTGTAGATGTTTTTGATGAGTGGTTGGCTATCGGAAGCTGGAACCTCTACCTTGGACGTTCCAGGAATGTTTGGGTACTCGTGAAGTGAGCTGAAACGTGGTTAAGCAGCTGAGTAAGTATTAGGCTTAAAAGCCATGTTATTCTATCCGTTGGCCTGCCCACACAGCTGATAACGGCTTCTTGTAGAATGATGAGGTGGTGAACGCAAGATCATCAAATGATACTAACTTATGTAGTTCCCAATACCAACTTTCTTTCAACCTCGGCATTGATTAAACAATTTTTGCATTCTTGTTTAGCAAACACGATTCTACTTCTTTATTTACTCACAAGCTGACGTTTCGGCGGATTTCGCCTTCCTGGGAGCCTGGAAACGTCAAGTTAACCGCAATCTACCCATCCACCCACCCAAACACCTCCGCAACCAAACAGAGAAAATCCTAACTCAAGATTTCAGTTAAATTGTACACAGAATAGCTTCTTTGGACATTCGCCGCTTTCTACGAGTCTTACACTGAGTATGTAACGTGGTGACCAACAGCACAGAGTTCACACGGAAGCGTAATGTGCCTCTCACACTAGAACAGCAGGTTTGAATACCGCCCAATATCACGCTTGATTATGAGGCATTCTTCCCTACGGTATATCTTCGGATTCTTGGAATTAATCCAGTCTCAAGAAGTACTAGCGAAGCAGAGGTGATGATCAACGAGCTCAACGAAGCGGGGAAAAAGATCGGACTTCGCATAAATCGAAAGAAGACCCAGTTCATGAAAATCCTATGGTGCGAAGGCGAAAAAATTGAATTGGATGGCTCTCTCATTGCAGAGATCCCCTCCTGCGTTTACCTTGGGCGATCAATGAACATGGGAAACAACATGAAGGAGGAACTAGGAAAAAGAAGGAGAGCAGCTTGGTTCGCATTAGGACCTCTCAGAGTAACCAACTCATCTCAACTGAAGAACCCAAAAATCTGCGCTCATCTCTTTGATTCTACGAACCTCCCAGCGCTCTATTATGCTGCACAGACATGGTTTGATACTACAACTATGTCAAGAATGCTTCGAACTACTCACAGAACGCTTGAGCGATGTCTTCTGAAATATAACCGGCAGTCTCGATATGTAGTCGGAATGCGAAGCTTTGACCTTCGAACTCTGTCACTTCTTCGAGATCCAGGAGAATATACATCGACAGCGAAACATAGGATGGGCCGGTCCGATAATGAAAAGAACAGACGACAGATGGACGAAAAAAGCAATATAATGGACTGCAAGAGAATGCAAACGTCCTCTTGGACGACCAGTTTTACAGATCATGGTACGAGACTCGCAAGCGCTACCATACTCGGACAAGACCACCACCATGGACAACGAGTGCGAAAAAAGGAACGAATGGCATATGTGCTGGGGTCCGCGCAGCTCGTGAAGGGGAACCGTCCAGGTATCCAAGTAAGTAGGATGTTCACTTTGAAAGAATTAAGAATTTCAAAATATACTACTTCACGAGGCCTTCCTCTCGACCATTGCAGCACTAGCACACTAATTAACGCGCTGTTACTAGCACTAGCTTGTTTTGCGTTGAAATTGCGGCTAGAATTGACAATCATAAAGCATATTAGTTGATTTTCTACCAAGTTTCTTCGAAAATTTGATAAGAAATGCTATTTGTTACTGTGTGATGTTCCCGGAAGCCTCGGAGCCATTTGGAAGTGTTGACGGTCATCACTCCACTGCTTCCCTGGCCTCTTCTTCAAGCTGGCATTTCCACTTCTGAGTATTTTAAACTCCAAAACCGTTCTATTTGTGTAGCTTAGTTTCGTAGTCTTAATATCTTAAGGTTTGCCTCCTCTTAATAACTCAAAAGACCGACTTTCTATTTTTCTCTTTTCTTTACTTGTGCTTTCTCGTTAGGTGCAGTGCACTATTTGGGCGTTCAACTGAGATGAATTGATTATCGTGAGCTATAATCATCATACAAGAACACTGTCCGCGTTTCATAGCGCGTGTAATCAGGATTCATTCCATCCCTGCTTGGGCAGCAACTCTTAGTTTGAGGGAACTACTTGGGATCTCTCCTACCTGATACGTTTGTTTGGAGGTGATGAGGTCTATAAAAGGGAAAGTAGCTCTTTACGGATAATATTTAATCAGTACGAGTAGCAAGCGGCAATAAAGTGTGGAAGCCGATCCTGTAAAGCACAATATATAATCGACGAAGGGAGCGCGCAGCGCAGTGGTCGAAGGCCCTCTGCAATGTGCATGGGGTCGATCCTTGCCCACCAGGGCTCACCAAGGCTTCCATCCCTCCGAGGTCAGCAAATTAGCACCAGACTTACCTGGGAGGATAGCAACACTACTAGATAAAATTTCAACTTATTATTTATTGCCTACTCTTTTTAACGGCAGGGTATACATTGTGAAATATAACTTCAATGACGCTGAGATATTTGCAAAACTCCGGACCGCAGGTGTATGCGGTGGGGAACGAACGAGCTATTGTCATTTCCAGGGGTAGCGCGTTTACCACCACACCACGCGGGACTACTAGATACGTCGGTAAGCCAGTAGGCCACCACGAGTCATTCATTGTATAGGCCAGAAATGCATTCAATTTCCTCTAACGATGCTTAATGAAGTCGAATGCATGGTCCTTCTTCAATCAACGATGGTATCAAATAAATAACTCTGTTCCTCGTTATTGAATGGTTGCAAACATAAACTTAGAAGTACAAATTTTACATTTTCAGCGAATTCTTTGTGGTCATATATCCTGAAGAAGATGGTTTCAATCACTTCCAGTTTATTAACCTCTCATTTCCAAATTTAGGGTTGAAAAACGTTTCGCTGGATGCTTCGTTTTGAGAAAATACAGCTTGCATTTTGCCGTAAAAGGATGCCACGCTGACGTTAACTACTATTTCCGATTTTGGACACTTGGCCGCTGCGCATCCAACGCTTCCGATATCTGGTAGTTTCATCTGTTGAAGTACAAAATGTGTTTTCTCTGCTCGAATTTGTTCTTAGCAAAGTTTACCTTATTACGCCCTTCAATTCTGTCACTCCACTTGAGTAAAGTTGTAGATACTGTAACGGTGTAACTAATACTGTAGGATCCTTGGTCAAACTGATAGCTTAAATTGTAATACTTGAAGTATACCATTTAATTTTACTTTATTGTTCATTAACATAAAATGATAATTGGTACCATTCGAAGTGTGTGTAGCCTGCCTCGGAGCTCGTTGGAGGCTTCGGTGGGCAACCTTCAACAGCTTCAAGTGCCAATTTCTCCAGCTCGCAACTATAGTTCTAAATTAACTTGTTCTAAATCTTTCTATTTGTAATTTTTTACTTTTGTTGTTTGTTCCATGGCATTAAAAGATTCCGTTTCTCGTACGATCATCCGGATAAGGGCAATTAAAAGGTTTGTCGAAGTGTGAAATGGCTGCACAAGAAAAAGAAACAGTTTTCGGTGCCATCCTCAAGAGAGGCGATCCACACAGGGGATAATTTTTGCGAAAGACTATGGTAAACTCCCACGTCGATCAGATTTGTGATTCGCATGATTCCATTCGCAATGTACACATACTACTGGACGGTTATAGTTTTGAGATCCGAAGGCAACGTGTGTTACTAGGACGTGTAATTTCCAAAATGCAGAAACCAAAGCGTGAAATCCGTCATTAGTTGGCGCTGTTAGACTTCCTGCTTCTACAAACTGATCCTGCCGTGCTTTACCTGTGAGTATTAGTAGAGCTTTGCTTAATCATACTGGAAACCTAGGTCCAGGAAATAGTTGGTCCTTGACAGCGTTATTTAAGATGTAGTCCCAGTCATTGTGGTATTTCAAGCTCCTGATGTATTAATTTAGGACCAATCACTTAAATTCAGACAGCCTTTTCATCCATTATTTTGATTAACCATTGGTATTCATTTTCAACCGGGTACTACCAGTGTCGACGACTATCCCAGACTGGTAGCTTTAAATGTTATCTCACAGTTGTTGTTGAATAGGCTTATGATGAGGTGTAGCAGAAATCAGTTCACTGTCAAGTGAAGACAGCCCATCTGAAGCGTACAGTGTGCGGCTGAAGGCGTTCTTCATTAACACCTGCCAGTTGAACACAACGATCGACAGGCGACTAATTAAAGTCTTGTGGTCGACAATCATAGAGGTATTTTTTCTTGAAAACACAAACAGAATTAAGAAGAAATAATCAGTCGGGTTTTTTTTTTGGTTGAAAAAAGGTAAATTTAAGACAGAATTCTTACCAACGCTGGCGGTGTACTGGATCTGCGTACTTTGGCGTAGAAAAGTTTCACAACAACTTGAAAGTTTTCACTGCGCTCACCTCCACAAGTATAATCTCTTGCGTCCAGCAAAACCTTTAAAATTGAATTTGGTTATAATCACAATCTTAACCTTTTTAGTTACTGCCTATTCTTTTTAACAGCACACATGCTGCGAAATATAACTACTATAGCGCTGAGATATTTGTAAAACCCCGGACCGCATGTGTCTGCGATGAGGAACGAACGCGTTATTGCTCTTTCCGGGGAGCAACGCGTTCACCACCACACCATGCGGGTCCTTCGTTTCGCCTGTCTCTCAGCTAGTTCTATCGATCGAAAAAAAGATTGTTTAGTGTTTAGTGTATTGAATTTAGCGCTATTTCTATTAGCAGAAATACCACTATCTGATGTTTTTCTATTCTAGCTAGTCCCATTGATCTTTTGATGAGCTGAGAGACAGTCGAAACGAAGGACACGCATGGTGTGGTGGTGAACGCGCTACTGCCCGGGAAGGACAATAGCGCGTTCGTTCTCCACCGCAGACACCTGCAGTCCGGAGTTTTGCTAATATCTCAGCATCATTAAAGTTATATTACAAAAGATTGTTGCAAGACATCTTCGTGTCTAACGTTCAGGCGTCTTCGTCTTCTTCACAGTCATGATCATTCGAGTAATACATATTTCCAACATGTTTCCTTGTGACAAGTGCCACCATGACGCGAATAAAATGGGGCATGGCTTGCGTCCTCCATTGCCGTTCCCATGACCGATTTTTGTTGAGCAAACGCGAGGTGTTATTGTTCTTTATTCACGAATAAGCTGACGTTTCGGCAGATTTCGCCTTCCTCAGAGCCGCTTTCTATGAGGTTTCCACTAAGTACGAAGAATTGCTCTTGCGAAACAAAATCCCTCAGTAGCCCCTTTTCCAAAATAGGGCCAACCACTGTAAGAAAAGAAAGCATTATGTTACAGAGACAATTAAAGTGATTCAGGTCTCCCGCTTCATTTGAAACTGCTTCAAACCGCGTTATAACACAATGAGGACCAGCTACGTTGCCGTAGTTTTGCTTCCGGCAGTGGTAATAACAACAGATGACTTTGTTTTTTTCAGTAAACATAACAGTGTATTGAATGCTGAAAGTTTTGTTGGACGCAAAAGATTACGACTGTGATGATAAACGCAACGGATACTTTCAAGATCTCGTGAAGCGTTTCCATAACGTACCCCGCAACGTAAACAAACTTCCACTTTCGGTAAGATTGCTACAGTTAGATTCACTCTTATTCTTTAGCCGAAAAAACTACGATTGATCATTTTTTGGTGATTCTGTTTGTGTTACTATGCTAAAGCACCTCTATGGTGGTCCATCAGATGACTCTTATTAAGCACAAAGCGATCATCTTGTTCAATGGCTCATGTAATTGAAGAAAGCCTTCAAGCTGCAACTGCTCGCTTCCACTGTATTATGCTCACTTAACGGATGCGAATTCTGCTACACTGCACCAATATGCCACGTAAGAATAAGAATCGCGAAATACCATTGAGAGCATCCATCGTCCCCAATGTGAGTACGCGTAGCAGTTGCCGTAGTGAAAATGATCAGCCATGGTGAATTGTGCAAACACCCGATAGAGGTGTCTGAATTCAAGAGATCGGTACCAAGTAACCATCTCTGGCTCTTGAAATCATGCAGCCGCATTGTCGAATCATTTGTCGGATGGAAATGGGACGGCGCAAAACTGCTTTCAGCTGGGGAAACGATGATAATTAAAGCTTTTGTCGGATGAAAAAATGGTGATGATAAAAGCGCTTGTCAGGTGGAGAAACGATGGTGATAAAAGTGTTTCTTCTGCAGTTCCGACGGTTTTGTCTTCCTCAAAGATCGAGACCTCGAAGGCCTTGAATAATCCAGAAAGATATTGATTATTAATTCGGTTGTTAAGTGACACTCGGTCCAGAGAACAATGCGCAAATACCCATGCACCTTTTTATATTTGAACACCGCGGTTCCGATTCGCACTTTCTTTTCCGTTAGATGATTTTCGAAAAGTGAAGCGAGTGTGCCTAATGAGAGGTGATTTTATTTTAGATTTTGTGTCTGCTCACATAACCACCCAGCTCTGAAGAATTCTTCAAAGACAAAAACTTCTCGACTTCCTTCAATGATGTGGACCGATGAGACGATATGCGTCCACAATTCGTCATGACAGAGACATAACTTTTGGAGCTAAACAGAAGAGAAAAGCAGATTTTGGGGATACAAGAGCATTATGGCGCGTGTGGCGCAGTACTCGATGGCGCTCTGCAACGCTCACGTGGAGTCGATCTCGCAACCATGGCCCACCGAGACTTCCATCCCTCCGGGGTCGGCAAATTGGTACCAGACTTGTCTGGGAGAATGGAAGCATTGGCTAGATACATCGGTAGGCCACCTGGAGTCATTGTGAAGGCCAGATATGCATTCAATCACCTCCAACGATGCTTAACGATGTCGAAAGCATGGCGCATCCCTCAGGGATTGATCAACGCCGTTACCTTTTCTTATCCTTCATTTTTATTTAATCTTTATTTAACCTTTACTTATTCTTGTTTTTTTAATTTTTGAAAGTATTTTTTACTTATTTTTAATTGTTTTTCATATATTTTTACTTGCTTTCATTTCGTATCAATTTTTGCTTAATTTTATTCTATTTTTAGTTATTTTGATTTTGATTTTGCTTTTTTTCTATTTTAATTTCGTTTTCATTTATCTCCTGTCTTCTATCTGATTTATTTAGATTTATTTCTTAAATTTTTTTATTTTATTATAACTATAGCCTCAGCTTAACTGGGTTCAATGCCGATTTAGGCTTCCCTGATCAATCCCGTTAACGGGTGATTGCTGATGGCAAAAGATCGTTAAAACTAGTTAAGAGACAGTCAGAACGAATGACCGGCATAGTATGGTGGTGAACGCGTTACTCCCCGGAAAGGACAATAGCGCGTTCGTTCCCCACCGCAGGCACCTGCGGTCCGGCGTTTTGCAAATACCTGAGCATCATTGAGGTGATATTTCTTGAATATTTTTTTTCATTTTCTATTTTTATTTAAGTTTTAATTTTTCGTTTTATTTTATTTTTATTTAATTTTCATTCAATTTTTATTTTTGCTCAATTACTTTAACTATTTTTATTTACTTTTAGTCATTTTTTAAACTTTTTAAATTATTTCCTATCTTATTTTTGACAAATTTTTATTTTCGTTTAGTTCATCTATCTATTTATATCTATTACATTATTATCTATCTTTCATCCATTTGTATCTAATTTAATAAGACTGATATACGCCAACTAAATAATGGGACCATTCTGATCCGTGGAGAAAAGGTCCCGTCACGAAATGTCGGTGGCGTAGGCTTTGTCGTCGACCCGTCCACCCATCCACCTCATTGACTCATACGTGATCCTTTCTCCTCGCATAGCCGTCCTCCGTCTACAACTGTCTCATCATAGGAAGACCACTATCATCAACTGCTACTCACCGACCGACACAGCTGATCAGTGCGAATTAAATGCGTTCTGCTATCAGTTGGAGGAAGTCATCCGCAATGATAAAGCATATCATACATTTGTTATCGAAGACTTCAATGCCAGAATAGGAAAGGCCAAAGAAAGCGAATACAGGATCGGAAATTTTAGATTAGGAGAAGGAAGTGACAATGGAAACCGTCTCGCACGACCCCTGTCAGCAGCACGTCTCTTCCATGGAAACTCGTTTTTCCAGAAGAAAGAAAGCCGCCGCTGGACATGGGAGACCCAGCGGTATGACTCATGCGGAGATCGACCATATTCTGACAAATAGAAGATGGTGCCTACTTGACACATCGGTGATCCCGTCATTCTGTACTGGTTCCGATCACCGCCTTCTTCGCGCGAAGATTCGATTCAGCCGCAAGCTGGAAAAGAACTCTCTTCATTGACGACAGGGAAAAAGTCTAGTTGTATGCAACAAGAACATTCTAAACGAAGTGCTGTCCAAACGTGACTGGCAGATTAAAGAAGACCCGACCGAAGACCTCGAGCCGCTCGTCCAAGGGCTGAAAAGCTGTGCCGAATTCGCCTCAGTTCCTCATGCGAGAAAATCGGATCGCATCTCCATCACAACTAAGGAGTTGCTCGAAAAAAAGGAAACTGAAGCTTCATCCTACTGCAAGACGTTTAAGATGGTTAGTAATAAATACCAGCTGCAGAAGAGCTTTTCATGAAGATCTACAACGGAACAAGCAGAAGAAAATACTGGAAGCAGCAGAGAAAAGAAGCAGTCTGAAAAAATGCCGTTGGGACCTGTGTGATTATAGTGTTCCGCTGTCAGCCCTGCAGCTTGGGCCGCATTCGAGCTTTCAAAGAAGCCACCGACCAACTGAAGGACCCGAAAATCGGCGCTCATCTCTTTGATTCTATGGTCCTCCCAGCTCTCTGCTATGCTGCAGAGAAGTGGGTTGATACTTCAACTACGTGCTTCGAACTACTCACAAAGCGTTAGAGCGATGTCTTTTGAAATATAACCGGCACTCTAAACATGTAGCCGGAATGTGAAGCTCTGACCTTCGAAATCTGTCACATCTTTGAGATCCAGGAGATTATACATCGATAGCGAAAAATAGATGGGCCGGTCACATATTGAGAAGAACAGGGGACAGATGGACGAGAAGAACAATATAGTGGACACCAAGAAAATGCAAACGTGCCCTTGGACGACCACCTTCACGTTGGGCGGCGGACGTGTTTGTAAACAAAGTTAATCAGCTGTACCCGCAGCTGCAGTTGTTTTACAGATCACGGTATGGGGATTGCAAGCGCTACCATGCTCGAACAAGACCACAACAGTGGACTACGATTGCGAGAGAAGGGAGCGAATGGCATATGTGCTGGGGTCCGTACAGCTCGTGAAGACGGACCGTCCAAGTATCCAAGTAAGTAAGTATCTAATTTTAACTCGTATATAATGCTGAGATATTTGCAAAATTCCGGACCTCAGGTATATGCGGTGGGGAACGAACGCGCGCTATTGTCCTTTTCAGGGAGTAGCGCACTTCCGCACCACACCATCCGGGTCCTTCGTTTTCGGACGGGTGATCGCTGATGGCAAAAGATCGATAGAACTAGCTGAAAGACAGGCGAAACAAAGGACCTACGTGGTGTGGTGGTGAACGCGCTACTCCCCGGAAAGGATAATAGCGCGATCGGTCCCCATCGGAGACACCTGCGGTCCGCAGTTTTGCAAATATCTCAGCATCATTGAAATTCTTCATTAATTTTTAATTTGTTTTCTATTTAATTTTTGTTTGATTTTATTTTACTTTGACTAATTTTTACATGACTTTTACTCAATTTTCACAGATTTTTACTATTTTTATTTGATTGATTTTTATTTTCTAATTATTTTTCATTTTTTTGTTTAAATTTATTTACTCTTTGTTAAATTTCATTTAATGTTTATTTATTTTGTCTGTTTTTATTTAATGCTTATTTTTTTGTTTTTTTTAGTTAAATTTTTTATTCTTACTTAGTTTTGATCGTTTTTATTCATATTCAATTTTTATTATTTATTTGTCTTTATTTATCTTCTATTGAACATTTTTATTTTTTCGATTAATTTTTATTTTTTTATATTTTTTAAATTTATTTCCAATATACTTTCAATTTAGCTTTTTTAATTTTATTTATTTTTTACTTATTTTCGTTTTGTTTTTATTTATTTTTATTCAGTCGCACTTAATTTTTATTTATTTCTGACCTATTTTTCAACTACTCTTTATTTATCTTCATTTCTCTATTTAATTTTTATATATTTTTTCGCTGGCTCTTACTAAGTTTTTTTTTCAATTTTTACCGACTTTTATTTCAATTTTATTTTTTTGTCAGAATACAAAGTGTCGAAATTAAGGCGTATGGTCCTAAACGTGGAAATGCCTACGTATGGAAGTCAATACTCATGGTCGTGAAAGGATTAACTCGTGATTGCCATGTCGATAGTCAACACTTGTCAAAGGTGTGCCTTGTTGTCCTGCCCACAGATTTTCTAGCACAGCGCTAGACGTTCAATTTCAGTACAGTACTTTGTAGAAAAATGCCCAACTTTATAGGTTACGAACTTGCTGGATTTTTTTTACAACAAACAAAAATTTCTAGTAAACAAACAGATGGCTTGAGAGCTTTTGAATATGGCAAGACTGCAGAACATTCTGCTTTACTATGCTGTGGTCGTGCTTGATGTGTATACCTCTATTTACTGTATTTCACGTTATTATGACTCGTCATACGGTCATATTATTGAGAGCTTTGAAGCTGTTTTGCAGCCAACCCTCCGTTTATTCCGATTCTTTTCGCACCAACATATTTGGAATGATGCCACGTACTCTGTCATTAATAAGTGTACTTTGGATATGTGCGTCTTTATGTAACACTTATTTTTCGTAAAAAAAATCTCCAAAGGGTTAAACTCTCGAACAATAATGGTGTAATATGGTCTTTGCACGGGATTCCAGAAGCTGCACGTGATAGGTAGACCAATGTAACCCTATTCGAAACATAATAAATTTAATCATGATAGACATATATAGCTGGTATTTGTAGGTTTGGTGTCCTCATTCGGTGGAATGCCTACGATTCGTCATGTAGCAGGAATACGCGTAAAACTAGTGCACGTTCATCGATATGTAGGGATATACTTCTTCGGAAAAATTCGTTTCTCCACTTTTTATTTTTATACTTTTCTATTTTTTATTTTTTATCTTTTATTTTTTCCTTGCCCGTTCATTTTTTCATTTTTTTTAAAATTTTTACTCTTTCTCGTTTTTCGTTTTTATCTCTATTTTTTATCTATTTTGCTATTTATTTCCTAGTTCTTTCTCGTTTATTTTCAACTCATTTTTATTTACCTATTTACTTATTTATCTATATTCTTATTTAGTTATTCATTTATTTATTTTTTTCAATTATTCATTGATGAGGTAGTAAAACACGCAAAATTGTTTGGAAGAAACAGAGTGGAGCGCATATGGTGGTAGTGAGGGTGGCGCCATTCTATCGAAAAGGTGCGATCCAAAAGCAACATAGGCGATAAGTTGTCCTAACGCGACAGAGTCTACTGGCGACAGTGTTCCTCGACTTTCACGCCTATAGAACTCATCACCTACAAACTCGCTTATAAAGAAATACGAAACCGATATTAATAAGGATGGCTGACACGAAACAACGAATCAAATGAAGAAAGTGCTATAATCCAGACAATTCATGAGACCGATTAATTTCAGCAATTTAGGAAATGACAGAATTAATGGAACATTGAAAGCTCTGAATACAACATTTAATGCACGAGAAAGCAAACCCGCATCTCTCTCAATCTGCGTCTGTCTGCAAAGGCGGAGCAACTTGTGTATTAAAGGTGTACTGTAGGTGACACAATAATGCGACAGCTGAGAATTTAGCTTCTGTGACATTTTAGTAGCGTTCAAGGATGTACGGTCTAGAAAACAAGAAAATTTGCAAGCTTTGCGAAACGAAACAGTGCATCCATATCGGATATGTGCTTCGGAAGAGTGAATTAAGAAAGAGAATAAGAACAGAAGAATAACGTGCTCAACGTTAATTTTTTCCTAGGACCATTACTAAATGGGAGGTGATCCGTACCATGTGCATAATACAGCAGCAGTACCCATTGCACAGCTAGTCTCATAATTCGAGGAATAAAGAATTTCTGGATGGGCTATGAAACCGACCACCAAACGCTACTAAACGATCGATTGGCGTTTTGAACATATCTGGTGAAACATCGTCGAATTCCTTCTTGACTATGACGATAAGCTGTATATCTTGACTAGTCTCAGTTATGCAACTGCTGCTTAGAATCTAAAATTCGAAATATCATATAAACACATAAGTCAGTGCTAAGCACAGAAGGCACAATTCGAAGCCCAAAGAAGCTTCTACCACGATCAGAGATGTTCAGCTCGTAATAAGTGTGCACATAGTCCCAACATTAGCTAGTGTAGTTAAATAACTTTAAGCTCCCAATGTTTACCGCCTCATCGTGGCTGAGAGGTGTTCCTGGGTGTAGAGCTGCTACGTACAACGGGGGATTCATATCCTGGTAGGGTCTCCCAAACTGAGAAGGAGTCCGGCGTTTCCATCAGGAAGCCTAGCTAAGAGTGAACCAATACAAGGATCCGCCACCGTACCGGTAGTCGTATGGCGGCAAATCTCCCTCTGATCCACAAGGGCTGCGAGTGCCTGTGATGATGAAGACCAGCAGCAAACTTTTGGGAGGCTGACTTCGGGGCTCCACGTAACCACAGTGACTTATGAAACAAAGGAGGATGAATATGTTGTACCAACGGTTCTCCCTTCTGAAATGCGACATGCCATTTCGTCGGTGAAACATCGAACAGCACCAGGTGCGGGCAGGGTAAGACCAGAACACTTGAAGAACCTGCCGCCAGCCCTCGTAAACACACCGAGTTGGCTCTTCACACGCTACCTGTCTGACCGCAAGGTCCTTACTCAGTGGAAGACCAGCTAGACCATTTTATTGTTCAAGAAGGGTGGCCTACGGATATCGGCAACTATCGCCCAATCTGTTTGCTGTCTGTCGTCTACAAAATTTTCACTCGAGTCAGCCTAAACAGGATTGGAACATTGGACGAAGGACAGCCATGTGAGAAAGCAGGGCTTAGAAAAGGATTTAGCACAATGATTCGTCGTTATGATTTTCTATCATGGACAACGTTTTTTCGAGTAAATCTCAACAAACAGTTGTTGTGGACTAAAACCTCGGCAAATTACCGGACCACTATGATGCTTGGATATTTGCAAAACACCAGACCGCAAGTGTCTGCGGTGGGGAACGGACGCGCTATTACCCTTTTTGAGGGCTAAGGCGTTAACCATCACACCATGTGGGTCCTTCGTTTTCGTTGTATCTCAGCTAGTTCTATCGACCACTACCATCAGCAATCACGCGTCAACGGGATTATTCTTTGGGATCATAATTCGTTGTTCACTTTTTCCGTTAAGTGGATTTCTGGTACAGTTTTCAACAACAACAGAGTGAATCCCTTCAACTGAATTCAACCATTTATGCCAAATCAAAAATGAATGAGCCAATTGATATTAATTATGACAAGTTTCACTAGAGCTGGAAGGCCTAGCACAGGGTAGGAACAGACAGTTCGCAGACATTCTTTTCGAAACAGCCACATTTTACACTGAGGCTACCGAGTCTTGATTTCTGAAAAACAGAACATTTTCCATATTTTATTGATTATTTTAGATTCTAAAGGAAGCCGGAACTCTTGATGATGCCATTAATTTCAAGCTGTCTAAACTTGCTTTGTTCTCGACTTTAACACCACAATAGATAGCAAGAAAAATGCATTATAACTACTCATAGTACTCAATCTCATGCGCCAAAACCGAATCTCAGTAGCTACCCAATGGCCTCGACTGTTCGTTGCTGCTGACAGCAAAAGCTTACCAGAGTTGTTAGAGCTGATAATGTTAATAAAACACTACTAGCACGAGCTCCATAAGTGGGAAATGGCCTCTCGGACATCGAAGTGAAGCATTGGGGCTTCCTGTGTTAATAGAATACGAACAACAGAGCAGTGCTTGTAGATGTCAACGTGCAATCCAAATGAACGTCGAAGTGCTACACAAGCTTATGGATGGGCTATAAATATGAATGGTAAGATCCAAATTGTTCGTTGTCAAATAAACAGTCAAACGCGTACATCCAGGTAATTCACTGCTGGGAAGCTCGTGATTCTAATGGCGCAACATTACATGACTTCTTTATTGGCAAATTTGCTACCCAAGTGCTTTTCTTCAGATCTACTCCTGAGACCACACAGCTCACTTGTTGGCGATAACGTACACCAAAGTGACTGCATTCACTCCATTATACCATGGGCACTTAGTGCAGAACCGTGTCACCAAGACTGTGAGTTTTTAAAAGATTCTGTTTGCTGTACAAAAAAACCTACTCATTGTTTTAACCTTTTTATTTACACCTATTGTTTTTTTTTCACGGCAGCCTATGACGTGAAATGCAACCGCTATGATCCTGAGGTGTTTGCAAAACTTGGACGCCAGGACAGAAAGAATAGCGATTACCACTTTCGGTGGCTCACGTTTTACCCACAGCACCACTGGAGTCCTTGATTTACCTTTCTCTCAGCCAGCTCTTCTACCTAACTCTGCCAACGGCATTCACTCTTCAACGAGATTGATCTGGGGAAGAAATCGATAACAAATCCAACTAAGTTGAAGCTGTAGTCGAGGTCACTATGTTAACTTTCATCTATTACATATTATCAATTTCCAAGGCATAGTATGGTGTGAAATTCAATCACTGTGGTGCTGAGATGGTAGCATTAAGTGGAACAATTGACCGAGAGAAAGGCAAAGCAAGGGTCTCAGCGGTGCCGTGCGTAACACGTGAGCCCCAGGAAAGAGTAATCGCGTTTCGATTTTGATGAGGATTCAGTTTTATGTGTTATGTTTTAACAGCTGTGGTTATGAAATGTTGGGCTGAACGGATTTCATGTCAATTTGATCTTTCCAGACTCCGAAGAAGGAAAACGAGTAGAAACGTCAGCTTTTCTAAATAAATATATGATTTAATAATGACCCCGTATTGGCTCATCAAGAAAACAGTAAATTACCGACCAATGACGAGGTTAAAAGGTCGGTCCCGGAGGAAAACAACTGGTTCGTTTTCAATGCATCCGGTAAATACGTGGTTTCAAAAGTGCAACGCTATATGAACTATCCATTTCCAAAGGTCCTACCGAAATAATTTCCTCTAGCGTTTTTTTATTTGGAAAATACAACTTACCCCTTGCCATAGAAGCACACCATAGTGACGTTGACAACTCCACTGGATTCTGGGCATTTGGCAACTGCGCATCCCACGCTTCGGATATCCGGACGAAGCATCTATACAGGTAGGAAACCGTTTTTTCCGAAGATATTGTCAACAAATTTTACCTTAAGACGGCTTTGAAGTCTAGTTAGCCAATACGATATTATTCGATAGGCTACGGTGGCGTGACTAATATTGATAGGCCCCTGGTCAAGTTCGCTGCTGAAATTGTTGGATTCGGAATAAGCCATCGAATGTCACTTCAATTTTCTTCTATAAAATGCAAAATAGTACTGTTCGAAGTTTGTGTAGCTCTCCCCGAGGCTTTCTGGAGGTGTTGGTGAGCATCTCTCAATGGCTTGAACGGCCTTCTTTTCCAGGTCGCAATTGTAGTCCTAAATGGACTAGTAGAAAATCTTTCCAATGCTTATTTAATACTATCGTTACTTATTTCGTCACACTAAGATTTTCTGATCCGTCTACAGTCCCTCGAGCATGGTCAATTACGAAGGTCGTCAAGGTAGATTTAATGGTAAACTGGTTTAAAACCATTTAAGCCCAAAACATGGAGACATGGTAAAATATGAGGAAACCCTTTGTTTACACCCTGAACCCAGCTTGAACTTGTACCTTGCAGACGAGTTGTAATACTCGCTGATTTTAATCCTTCATGTTTGTAACAGATTGGAAGCCTTTAAGAGAGACTATTTACACTAGGGTCATTTTTGCGAAACGCTAGCAAAATTTCTCGGGTCAGTTAAATCTATTAACCGTAGCTTTTTCATCTACAATGTGAAGTTGCTGGATGGTTGCAGTCCTTCCAATCCCACGGCATCATAGTCTACCACCGCACGAGGTATTCAAAGCACAGAAAACGAAGCGTTAAATTCGTTAGCACTTGATTGATACCTTTAGACTGTTTGCTTACAGATAATTCTCCCACCGTATTTTCTTTGAGGCTATGAAAAGAGCATTGATAGAAGACCGGACATTTGGGCAATCTGGATTCAGGGAATAGTTTGCCCGTGGAGAGACCATTCAAGATATGGAATCGCTGTAGGATTTCAAGAGTCGGAGGTGTTTATATGGTACCAATCACTTGAATTTGGACAGCTTTGTCGTGTGTTAGCCTAATGTACTGTCGGTGTTCATCTTCGGTACGGCAACTGCTACGCGTCTTCAGAAGGCAGCTCTCAGTCGTATTTCACGATTCTTTCTCTTGAGTGGCATGTTGGTGAGGTGTAGCAGAATTCACATCCGTTAAGTGAGGATAATACAGTAGAAGCGAGCAGTTGCGACTTGAAGGCTTTCTTCATTTACATCAGCCATTGAACAAGATGATTGCTACGCAATTGACGTGATAACAACGATGGGTGTGGTGGACGACCAAAGAGATGTTTTAGCGTAGTAACACAAACAGAATGGCCAATAAATGTCCATCCGTAATCTTTTCGGATAAAGAATAACAGTGAATCTAACTGTAGCAATCTTACCAAAGGTGGAAGTTTGTTTACGTTGCGGGGTGCGTTATGGAGACGTTTCACGAGATCTTGAAAGTATCCGTTGCGTTTATCATCACAGTCGTAATCTTTTGCGTCCAACAAAACCTTCAGCATTCAATACATTGTTAGGTCTATTAAAACGAAATAAAATCATCTGTTCTTCTTACCACTGCTGACAGCAAAACTACGAGAACGAAGCAGGTGCTCATTATGTCGTGCTGCGTTCTGAAAGAGATTCAAATGAGGTCGGACATCTTTATCACTTTGATTGTCTTTATAACTGAACGACTCTTTTTCATATAGTGGTTGGTTCTTTTTTGAAAAATGCTTTACGGAGGGATTGTGTTTCGAAAGAGTGCATGTTATCTAACTCTAGTTAAAATCTGGACAGAGTTAAAGCTAAGGAGTTGAGAATGTGTGAGAAAATAATGGGTTCGTATAAAAGAGGGCTGAATAATCGAACTTTACGTCTTAGAGAATGACTATTTTCCTAACGAAATAGCGAAATAGCACATTCCTACGACCAGAATATGAAATGGCGAGGACGGCCCTAGTTCAGAGCATTTAAATACTTTACCACATATTTCGACAGCTGAGGGCGATGTTCGCGATGAATCGAACGGCAATGAGGAACGCTAGTTATGGCCCATTTCATTCGCGTCATGGCGGCACTTGTCATAAGAAACATATCGGGAATATCTATTGTTATATCAGCTACTGTTGGATGACTGAGCTTCACAGCAACATTTAGATTTTAGACTGTGAGGCACTTGTTTGTACAGCTGAAGGCATTGTTGACATGACATGATGACATGGATGACAAAGAAGAACATTACTTTTGACCCATATAATTCGCGTCGCAGCGGCTTTCGTCAGACGGAAAAATGATGGTGATAAAAGGGCTTGTCAGGTGACAAAATCGTGGTTATAGAAGCTTTTGCCAGATGAAAAAACGATGGTGATAAAAGTATTTTCAGATTGGGAACTGATAATGAGAAAAGCTATTTTCAAATGGAAAAACGATAGCGATAAAAGTGTTTCTTCGGCAAACATCTCGACGTCATTGTCTTTTTCAGTGGCCGATACCTCGAAGGCCTTGAATAATCCAGAAAGGTGCTGCTTACTAATTCCAAGGTTAAACGACTGTCTGTCTGGAGGACTACGGGCAAGGTAGCCGATGTCATATCCTCCTCTTTCATAACAACACCGCCGTTCCGATTTTCATGCATTTCCATATTTTCTCTTCCGACAGATAAC